AATGTGGGTCATTCATGCGCGAGTAGATGTTTCTCACGTTTTTTTTTTTTTGTTCTTCTCCACTGTCTTATAGGTTACGTAAAAGGTCTCGACATAAAATGAAGGTAAAACATGGGCTCATTTTGTAGACAGATGTAAAGACGTGATACCATTGTTGTCAGAAGATTACCATCGTTACGGATAGAAGTGTTATTGTTAGTTTGTGTCGTCTTCAGGGAATAAGAAATACTGTTAGGTTAGACGTGTTTTACTTTCATGGAAAAATAATTCTTGTATTTAAATTAACAATATACACATACAGAAAGTATATGAATAATTATTACGATTTTATATTTATTTTAACGCAATGTATGTTTTCTACGCTTTATTTATTACAGGTTTAGCGTTATATAAGTTCTCAAGATTCCACCAAGAAATTGGCGGACTACTAGTACGAACCAGAAATGATATATTTTTAATTTGTTTCATTTGAAGTAAGTCTGAAGAGGGCGTTTTAGAACTTTCACTAATGAGGTCTTAGAATCTGTTGAATGTTACACAGATAATAAGAACTAAATTTTCGCCGATTGTATTTAGTTCGAAACCCAAACGTTGAGTTCTGAGCGTTAATAATTGCATATGGTAATTTGAATATTTATTACCTCTGCTCGGATTCGAAAGCAGGGATTCTCGAACATAGGATGATTTCGCCACCAACTGAACTAGTAAACAATTCAGTTTACCTCACAGATATATTTTGTAAGCCTACAAAAAATATATTACTAGAAAATCTTACTAGTATAGTCATTGGGGTATTCACACTACACGTCTATTTTAATCAGATGCTCATAATGCATCTGTATATTGCATGAGTGGGGTATTCACACTACACGTCTATTTTAATCAGATGCTCATAATGCATCTGTATATTGCATGAGTGGGGTATTCACACTACACGTCTATTTTAATCAGATGCTCATAATGCATCTGTATATTGCATGAGTGGGGTATTCACACTACACGTCTATTTTAATCAGATGCTCATAATGCATGAGTTGTGATTTAACTTATTGAACACGTTACTTCTAAGGAAGAAGAAACTGCTTAATGTTAGATAATGTTTCCTTCTTTTGTTATAAAATTCCTATGATCTCATTAGATGCTAATTGAATATCCTGCTTTACGGAAGGTAATAACTGACTCATTTAACTGATTGAGTATTTGTATCTTTAAATTTAAAGCTAAAAGTTTATATGAAATGTGTCCTATTTCAGGGTGTTTTTTATTCCACTTCTTGGGCAAAAATCCTAAAACAAAGTAGTCTGTGTATACTGTCAGACAATTTCTAGATACCATACAAATATTACGGTAATCGAACCAGCCAACTCTTGATGATGGATGTTACACACATAATAATCATCTTAATAGTAAGATATTTCTTCCCAGTTGCTGTCTTGTCAGAAAATACTCAGTGAAACAGGAACAGTGTAACTCTTATAAAACAAGATTTAAGTCTCAAAAGGAAAAAAAAACTGCAACAAATTTAGTTCGACTGTTCGAGATGCAACAATAGGTTGGACGTTTTATATCGAAACCAAAACTGCTGATTATAAACATTTCGACCAAGTTCGACTGTTAAGTAGTGAATATATTTCTGTTACTTTGCTTCGATATATATATATATAAAGTTATTTTATACTTATATATCATGATGAGTGTACGTACATCATTTATGACATGTCAAGGGCATTCGTATTTTCAGTTGGCACTTTTCGAAAATCGCATATGTATTAGTTGAGGCTCTTGAACACGCAAAACATACGATACCAAGCATGATATACATTGGTTGAAGGTTTCTGACACACACAAATATGGTGTCAAGCAAGATTCGCATTGGTTGAGGCTTCCTAACACACACAAGTATGGTGTCAAGCATGATTCACATTGGTTGAGGCTTCCTAACACACACAAGTATGGTATCAAGCATGATTCGCATTGGTTGAGGCTTCCTAACACACACAAGTATGGTGTCAAGCATGATTCACATTGATTGAGGCTTCCTAACACACACAAGTATGGTGTCAAGCATGATTCACATTGATTGAGACTTCTGAAAACACACGCAAGTATGGTGTCAAGCATGATTCACATTGATTGAGGCTTCCTAACACACACAGATATGCTATCAAGCATGATTCACATTGGTTGAGACTTCTGAAAACACACACAAGTATGGTGTCAAGCATGATCCACATTGGATGAGACTCCTGAAAACCGACACAAGTATGTTGTCAAGTATGATTCACATGGATACACAGTCCAGGCACACTATAAAGCTAACTACTAAATCCCGCCCCGACATCATTATAAGATTATAAGAAGCAATAAAAAGTTATAAAGATTAGCCTCTGTATTTTGTTCATACTAGAACAAAATATCTCATAATGGTATGTTACCACAATCTCTCATTGTCAGGAGCAATGCACAGAAAAATATCCTAGTCTTTTTAGAATCTCTATAAAAGAAAACGATGGGAAGTAAAAAGACAACTATCTATCTATATATATATATGATAGTACTGTCTGTTGTATGTCCATGTAACTACTTCGCAGGGTGTGGATGGATCTTCATCAATTAAATCCATGTGGGGGTACGTAAAAATGTTCAGTTTTGCGGTTTTTATGGGCGTTTTTGCGGTTTTTTAGTTCTACCTCTCCTCCTGTGGATGGATCTTCGCCAAATCTAGTATGGAGGTTCATTGGGTCCATGTAAATTTGCTTTTCACATTTCGTGTTTTGCTGTTTTTATGGGCGTTTATAACAATTACATATAAGTGAAGCAACTTTTCATGTTCTAAGATAACCTTTCATTAATCATGAATTTACATAACTTCCGTCCAGGGTACAGATACTCCAGCTAGTCTATAATATGATCAAATTAGTAACCTGTTTCCAAGATGCGAAACTTTCAGGTCATCATAACCAGTTCGAAAGAAAAACTACGAGTCTGACAATTCCAGGTTTGGCAGGATTATCATAAAAGAGTGATTCTTCCAGAAGTCAGTAATATATATACATATCAAAACTTGTGAAACCGAAAAATAACAAAACAATATTATTAATTGTATACAAGTACTGACAAAAGAGAAAAAAAATCACACTATTAAAATAAAGACTGTATTTGTATTTATGGCAAAACCACTCAAGCTATATGTCGCAGTCCTTCGTTTTGAATTAATGATCAGAGAAAGTCAGACAGTCTGCAGCACGTGACCACCCACCATCCACGATAAGGAATCGATTGTCACTCTTTTAACAGCTTTAACTGCGGAGAATATTTTGTGGTATCGCACCAGCTACAAAAAACATACAACAAAATGGAGAGTAACTAACAGTACGAGTTGGTTTTCTCATCGAATGAAAAGTAAAAAACTTCAGTATTTTTAATATTACCTCGTAAGATTTTGTACAACATTGTATTCTATTTTTTCATTTAATTTTTAATTTTTGTTTATTTTGTATTTGCTGTTGGTTATGTACGTTCAAACAGCATAATATAGTACATTAAAATGAAATAATTGTAGTGCACGCGCGAAATTCAATGTTGTTTTTTAACATGCTTAGGAATGGATGAAAACGAGCACTTTAGAATAACTAAAACGGTGTTAATGTGGGTTATATGGTAAACAGTTTATAGCTAACCCTGTTTAGATTTGTTTATTGACTTGCGCGGTGTGTATTTATTTATATATAACTGTTATTTTTTGGTCAGTCTTCGCATAATCAGTAGAAAGCACAAGTATCCCAAGATAACGTTCCTTCCTAAATACTAATAGTAAAATATATTCAGCTGAAATACACTAGATTTCCATATTTGAATGAAGTTTAATATGGCGATAAAGTTTCGTGCCCTGAGATGATATATTGAGAAGCAAAAATATATGATCTGATTAATAATTCTGCAGTAGGTAAATGAAGGAGCGTTATGTTTCTTATTAACCGTCATTCTATTTACATAGTTTACTATATATTTACACATACGTGTATCTAAAGTATAACATTATAGTTTACATTCCCAAGAAAGGAAGAGGCAGGTGAAATTCCATAAGTCGTGACATGCGCACTATTACCAACACTTAGCAGGAGGGTTACATGAATTATGAATTATTAACAAGATACGTGACAAAATGGAGAGTTTACCCTATCAATCAGATAAATCCTATATTGATGGACGTTTTGTGTGTGTGTGTGTGTTTTCTCTGTTATATAAAATCAAACATTCAGAAACGGTTCTTAGGCCTATAATTTTCTTTGGGGTGTAAGTGGTTATTTTATGATTCGTGGATGAGGTGATATTTTAAATGTCACATGCCACTTAGTGAAACTCTGCAGGAAAAAAAAAAGTCGGAATGTACAGCTACATTTTCCATTGGCTACGATTGGATAATTTTGTACATTTTTTATGATTTTCGATTGAAAATTTAACCAATTCAAGCATCAGTTTCTATAGACTACAGAAGAAATTCTCGTTTCTTAAGAAGCGCTACCTGGCGAAATATATGGGCCTAAATAAAATAGCTTCTGGATTTATAGATCGTTTTTTGTTTTGTTTTATTTATGAGAGTAGATTAATCTAATAAAAAACATTAGAATTAAGTTACAAATACCGTTTAAGTTTATTTGATTAACAATGTAATAATTATTTAGCTTTAAATAAAATTAAAGTCACTGCAAAATGGATTATCTGCGCTATGCCCAGGGCAAGGATTATACCCTGATTTTTGGTCTTTTAAGCTCTCGATCTTACAGCTGAGTTACAAACAGACATTACCATAACACAACCATATTTAACTATTATATATTTATAACGCGAAAGTATTACTCCATATGTCACGGAAATGGATGTAACAGTTTCATATCAACACGTTTTTCTAACAAACATTACATTTACTAAAAAAATTACATTTACTAGTCTCATAAATAATCTAATAAATACGATATCTTGCTTCTTTTTTTTTGCAGCATTGCAGATCTATCAAACAAGATGAAACTCCACCAGGTGACGATTCTGATCTTCGTAGGTAGTGTTGCAAGGATGCAAGCTGATTTATTTGCCTCAACTGAAAATTTACAACACGTACTCTTACTCGAACGTCAGATGGCTGGAGTGTTGGATGGCGTTTTAAAAACTATGGAATTGAAATTAGATTATTTGAGAAAGTAAAGATAATTATATAATACAATATTGTTTTTATTATTTTATACTTTTGCGTGTTTACTAACAGATAAATAAATAGTGATTTTGTAAATTTTCTAAATAGTTTAATTTAGTTACATATTTATTTTACTTGTTTTGTAACATAGTCCAATCTTCCGTTTGTTTAACTTACAGCTCATAAGTTACTAACATAACATATCACGAAACATATAAATACTAAAAAAATTCTTGTAAAAGTCCGAGAAGTTATAACTTTAGAATTTATGCTGATTTCAGTTTGATCTTGTCGTCATTTTATCCTAGCACAGCATAAAAACCCTAAAATAAGCCAAAATTGTGACTTCTTAGTAAGTGAGAGGGTACTGAGAACTATCATGTGATAAGCGGCAGTGTAGTCACGTGATCTTGGCTGTAGACATTCAGCAACTAGAGAACTTGGAAGAACGCTTGATATATCTAAATTAATCTACAAATAAATAACCATATATGTAATATTATTACCATAAAAATTCTATAATTCATCTTAAAGTTTTTGAATAAGATAATAAGAAGTTGGTTTTTGTAGAAAAAGTGTTCATTTTTGAGTGTGTTTTTTTTTCCTTATATTTTCTGGGCAGCTATTTGAAGGAATACTACAGATTATCACACGAAATAGCAAACACGAAAAACCAAGATGACTACAGCGAGTTCATAGAAAACCCTTTACACGTGTTCCACATGATCAAAAGATTGGCTGTTGAATGGAGTGGTATTCGCCAAATGATGCTTGAAAACGACTGGGATCGTAAGTTAAAATAGAATACCATAACAACAGCGCTGTAGCGTTGTCTGTTTGTTTGTTTGTTATGACTTTCGCGCAAAGCTACACGAGGGCTATCTGCGCTAGCCGTCCCTAATTTAGCAGTGTAAGACTAGATGGAAGGCAGCTAGTCATCACCACCCACCACCAACTCTTGGGCTACTCTTTTACCAACGAATAGTGGGATTGATCGTCACATTATAACGTTCGCACGATTGAAAGGGCGAGCATGTTTGGTGTGACCCTCAGACTGCGAGTCGAGCGCCCTAACCACCTGGCCATGCCAGGCCTAGTAGCGTTTTCCGTCTTCCTATCTAAGTAGAAAAATAAAACAAATATGACACGTTTCAAAGAGGCCTGTCTTATTTAACAAAAATATACAGGTTTCGGAATAACTTTCTATCTTATCTGCTTAACTTTATAGTCTTTTATGACAACACTCAAAGTACGACTCGAATTTTCTTTTTTTTAGCTCACGGAACGGATGGAGTTGTTTTTTTTTTGTCCATCCGACAATTTAAAAGTAAGAAAATAAATCTATGGTTAACTTCATGTTTTATTTGTGTGATGAGTGATTGTTTTTTGTTAATTTTGCGCAAAGCTACACGAGGGCTATCTGCGCTAGCTGTCCCTAATTTAGCAGTGAAAGACTAGAGGGAAGGCATCTAGTCAACGCCAACTCTTGAGCTATTCTTTAACCAATAAATAGTGGAATTGACCGTCATATTATAACTCCCCCACGGCTGAAAGAGCGAGTATCTTTTGTGGGAAGGGGGAATCGAACCCGTGACTCGACCCACAAATTGCGAGTAAAACGCCCCAACCACCTGGTCATGGAAAGTGAAGAAGCGTTAGTACACTTTAGGGAAAAGATTGAGATGATCGGATTATTCTCAAGTAATTGAATAATTCTAAGGATAACTTAATATTATATCTACGCCCTAAATATCAGATATTTTAAAATTTTACAGCATATAATCAGGAATTACGATAACCAAGAGTTGTCCCTGCTGGATAGAAAGCGCATTCATGTCATTTTTATACGAGAATATAAAAACATATTGTAGTCATAGTTTATTTTCTATGTCTCTCTAGGCGTGGAGGAAATTATTCATTCGGAAGAGGATTTATTACCACGTGATGAAGACCTGCAGGGAGCAGCACTTGCACTGGTTCGTCTTCAATACACTTACAACCTCAACACCACTGATATGGCACAGGGTAGATTATCAGGCATTAATTCAATCAGTGGACTAACAGGTAACTACTGATCATTCAACCTTCCATTAATATCAAAATCAAGTACTTGTATTAATTAAGAATTATGTAAGTTTAAAAAAAGCAATTAAAGAAACTAAATACAATTTTAAATTATTTCTTGGCCATATTTAGTAAATGTGTTATTTAACAAGCACACTATTCTGGTACCATTATTTCAAAAACTATAACACTCAGTACACTTAATTCCTCCTTTCATAGTGACTGAAAGTCAAACGAACTAACCCCTGCTTTTAATTAAGAAGTAATAATAGCTTGCTAGTTATTTACATCATACGTTTACCTGTGATACTAATCTGTGTGTGTACTATATCCAAACAGGACACTGGTGACCATGGTCTTCCACAGATCTCTCCCTCTCTATGTGCCTTATCCAAACTGGACACTAGTAACCATGGTCTTCCACAGATCTCTCCCTCTCTATGTGCCTTATCCAAACTGGACACTAGTAACCATGGTCTTACATAGATCTATCCCTCTCTATGTACCATATCCAAAAAAGGACACTGGTGACCATGGTCTTCCACAGATCTCTCCTTCTCTGTGTACCATACCCAAACAGGATACTGGTGACCATGGTCTTACATAATTCTCTCCCTCTCTATGCAACATACCCAAACAGGACACTGGTGACCATGGTCTTCCACAGATCTCTCCTTCTCTATGTACCATATCCAAAAAAAGGACACTGGTGACCATGGTTTTCCACAGATCTATCCCTCTCTATGTACCATATCCAAAAAAGGACACTGGTGACCATGGTCTTCAACACAATTCTCTCCTTCTCTATGTGCCATATTCAAACAGGACACTAGTAACCATGGTCTTCCATAGATCCCTCCCTCTCTATGTACCATATACAGACATGACATTGGTGACCATGGTCTTCCACAGATCTCTTCTCGTCGAGGCACAAAGAACTTCCAGTGTCGATACATTTGTCCATTTAGATAGAACTTTTGACATAAGTCAATCTATGTCTCCCACAGTCTCACCTTCCTTCAATCTTTACAGTTATGACCACACTTTCAATTTCTTCTTTCCTCATGGCGTGTTCTAAAAACTCCAACTGTCTTTTTTTTATGTTAGTCAGCAGCCTCCTCCTGCAACCTGCTTTTGACAAAAATATATTCATTTGAGGTTTGACTTGTCCAACATACCTTCAAGATGCGCCTTAAAAACCACAACTCAATTGCTTCAATTCTCTTTTTCATACTTGGAAATATGGTCCAACATTTTGATGCATAGATGAGAATAAATATAACACAAAAATCCAAAACTCTTAACTTTGTCGCAGTAGATATGTTACTATTCGTGATGGTAACACCAATCATTTTAAAATATTTCCACTCCGTGAATTCACATCTTTTTATTACAAACTTGCCACAAAATATGTCCTAGTTAGGTGTTTTTGTCTATAATACCTCTATTATTTCTAGTCTAGTTTACCGTATTTTTAAAGTATGGTACGTATTTCTCAACTTAGCAAGAGATTGTTTGTATCTCGGAAAACATGCGTTCAACAATGGCTACTATGGACATGCCATAGAGTGGTTAGAAGAAGCGATTTCTCGAGCGAACTTGGAAAGGAATCAGACTGTTTCAGTAGAAGAAATTACACTATTTTTGGACATTGCCATCAGAGTAGTAAGACTAAACAATTTCTTTTGTTTTCTCATAATTTCAGAGTTCTAAGAAAATACCAAGTTACATTTCTTTTCATTTTATATCTTCAGTTAAAATTGTTTTTCGTTTTTACCTAAGACAAAACTCTATCAGTTAGCTTGTTTTTCATTGACGACTTTGCTTACAGAGCGTTATGAAATGGGAATTATTGTATTTATTTTTGATTCTGGAAAGTTATTATTCTTTCGAATTTTCCACGGGACTAGTTGAAAAGTGTTAGAGAAAAACCACGAGAACTACATATGTCCGTTATACTTGTTGTTTTGTGCAAAGCTATACAATATGCTATCTGCGTTCTGTTTAACTCGGGGAATCGAATTGTAATATTTCAACTACGTAAACTAACCACTGATCCACTGGGGTATATGAGTTATACAGCAATATTTTACGTACATTTAAAACATCCAAAAGATAACATCTACGTTAAAACTTCAAGTTATCCTTAAAGTACGTGTAACTAACATAACACCTACGTTAAAACACCAAGACAAATTTAGCATAAACGTACTCAACACACACTCTTTGAATTTTTTCTTTAAAGAATTCAGGGTATAAACAGAACAGCTTCGTAAACGAATGTCTTAAGTTCACGGTTGTGTTACATTGAAATCGAGACCAAATCTTCTTATAGAAATCAAAGAAGCATGATCGCTTTTAGTTTGTTATTACTGTACAAAAGTTCTGTACTTCGATTTTCAAACTAATACATGCTAATTAATTTACTGTTTAAATCAGTGAAATACTTTTCAAAGGACTGGCCAATCATACTAATATCAAAATTCTATATATTTCGTAACTTGTAACATTCAAAAAGAAAACAAAACTCCACTTTTAAGTTAAAAATCCATTATCCTCAATAATTTTCAAAAAAATCTATAAATATCAATATTTCCGGCATGGATATTTATTTACTTAAGAACACAAGTTAAGCTTTTGCATTATTTTATAAAAAAAGGTTTCTGTATTATTTTATAAAAAGTTTCTGTATTATTTTATAAGAAAGAGTTTACGTTTCTGTATTATTTTAAAAATAACAAGAGTATGTAAGATATATTTTCTGACTCTTATTAATGCTCATTAACGATAAACAAACCAAAATATTACATTTGACAGTTTTCGTCTATAATTTGTTCGTTATTTTTGTGACGTGATTAAAAAGAGTTTTTGTACTGGTGAGCTATTTAATTATTTAAAACAATAATAACAGAAGTTAATATACTCATTTCTCTTTTTTATTATAGCACGATGATGTTCTAGAAGGAAGTTATTTCAACAGTAAGAACAATTTTTTTTATTTAAACCTAGACTGAAATCTATTATTATTATAATCGCTTGTCGTCATCAGGATTTAGATCTTTGTAGACCCGGGAGGGTCAGGTTCGCCTGGACCTCTCCCATTGTTAGTTTACAGCTAAATGTTCTTTTAATTACAACACGAGGATCAGAGGTTATGCTATTGCATGTACTCTGATCCCTTTCAAGGCCATGTCCATGTATGGTAATCAAGTAAATATCCGATACGAGGAACACATTTTCTCTCTGTTCGTTATTGCGCAAAAGTCACACACATTGCGAACAGTTCAAGTTGCGTTTCACATATTTTTCATTAGTTTAATTACTACGAGAGCGTTGTACATGAAATACCCTTTACAATACTCTCCGAGTTAAATAAACTAAGGATGGAGATAGTCTTAGCCAAAGAAGGCCTTAATTGGTATATTATTTCTAATATAGAAATTAATTGGTGAGATGTGCTTAGAGCTAATTTCATCATGTATGCAAAAACGGTCTAAATCACAAAATAAGTAATTTTTATGTGAATTATTTTATAGAGTAACTTAGAGAACTATGTATGAGTCTATGAGGCAGTGTTTGTATGTTTGCATATTTATGTAGAAAAGCAGACGATGTGGATCTTGGCACTTGGTAGGCTGCTGTAAGTATTGTATTCCGCGTTGTTTGTGGTTTTCTTACGTGTATGTATTTTGTTTTTATCCAAGCTGAGCATGAGTATTCTATAACTGGACATGAGTATTCTATAACTGGACATGAGTATTCTATAACTGGGTATGAGTATTCTATAACTGGGCATGAGTATTCTATAACTGGGTATGAGTATTCTATAACTGGGTATGAGTATTCTATAACTGGGCATGAGTATTCTATAACTGGGTATGAGTATTCTATAACTGGGCATGAGTATTCTATAACTGGGTATGAGTATTCTATAACTGGGTATGAGTATTCTATAACTGGGCATGAGTATTCTATAACTGGGTATGAGTATTCTATAACTGGGCATGAGTATTTTATAACTGGGCATGAGTATTTTATAACTGGGCATGAGTATTCTATAACTGGGCGGATGTATGTTTTGCATATTTTAAGTATAGTGTTGACTGATGTTCCATGGTTTTTGCCTGTTAGACACCTTACATAGTTCGTACGTTGCCAAACTTTTGCTTATATGTTTAACCTACGTTAACTTCTGATCGTAGGTCAGGCCCGGGAATTCAGCTGATGTTGTTGTTTAGAGGAGTGTACCATTTATGTAGAGTTCAGGTGGATGTTTTTTGTTTTTTTTTAGTTTTGTAAAAACTACAAGTTGATTTTTAGGAACATTTATTTTGATGCAGTATTTTCTACTGTTCTATTCAATTGTGTTTGTAGATTGGTGGCAGCTATTGCTGGGGTCGGTGCACTCTTCCAAATGGCAACATTGTCTGCAAATTGTGATGCATGTTCATATTTTGAGTCGTCTAGGGGCATATTATTAACGTACATGATAGGACCACTACCCCTCCGCTGGAAGTTCTAATTCTGACATTCTGAACGTGAGACCATTGTACATAGGACAAAAAGGTAAAATGCACCTGACCCTCCCAGGTCTTAAAGACCTAAATTCCGATAATGACAGACAGACAGACCATTGTGCCATACAGTGTGAAATGTTTTCTCAACGTCGAGAAAGCATGCGACAGAGTATTATTTTTTTATTGAAGCTGCCTACTATGGATTTAGTTAATCTAACTGTTGTTAGATCTGTTGTTTGTCTGATTTCCGGTAATTTTGATGTGACTTCTTGATAAATAGAGAGTTTATTAATTATTATGTGTTCTAGCATTTTGCCTAAGCAGCTTATTTTTATAATATTTAATGTTTGTGTGCCTTACAATGTGCGTGCACTTCCTTTCAACGGATGTAAATATCCTTTAGTGGTGCACTTCCTTTCAACGGATGTAAATATACTTTAGTGGTGCACTTCCTTTCAACGGATGTAAATATACTTTAGTGGACATTTTGTACAACAGCATATTAAAAGCTTATCAAAGTTTTTATTAAAAAGATCTGTTTAACGATAGGTCGTAAAATGATATTATAAATTTATGATCGCATTAAGTACAGTAAAGTTTAGCCCTAACTAAACTAAAGCAAAAAACGTACTCAAGTTACAGTATTAATTTATCTCTTTATCGAATGCAGGCCGCTCTTAATTCAGACTTAATTAATGTTAGGACTATTATAAGTGGACTTATAGATTTCGGTGTTTGCGATTAGAATTATTTTGTAGTATTCTAAAAATCCTGTATTTAAAACGTACTATTGCAATAAAGATACTAATTTAACCGCAAATATTTTTCAGGTTTTTGCTAGTGTTAAAAAGTTCTATGCTCAGACAATGTTTTCTCTTGTCTGTCTGTCTGTGTAAGTATTATTTTATATAATGTATACAACTATGCGTATTTTATATTTAAGCATATTTGGTGTAACTGTATTACTTGTTTCTATGTATATATATATACGTTACGCTCAGTCTCAGGATTCAATAATTAACTTAAGCAGCTATTTCAGTTTTTCTATTTTGTTCTTTGTTTATTTGGCATTTAACGTTTCGCATTCTGAATAAAATAACTTGCATAAGCACCGAAATGAAATGCAATTTCGGTCTTTGATAACTTTGGCATTCTCAAATTGCAAAATGGTTATTTTAACCGGTCAGTTTGTTTGTTTTTAATTATATACAAAGCTACACAAGGGCTATCTGTGCGCTGCCCACCACGGGTATCGAAACCCGGATTCTAGCGTTGTAAGTCCGCAGACATACCGCTGTGCCACATACCGCATCCGATCAGTTAGCGAGTGCTGAAATTGAGCATAATATATATATATTATTCATTGTATAGCTTTATATGGAGACCGCTCGAGATTTAAATTGATTGAATTATTCTCTGTTTAACTGTCTAAAGATCACCAGGTTTTTTTTTTGTTGTTGTTATAAACTAATATTTAGATCACGCCTACGAGACACTTGGTCATCTAGTGCGTGACACGGGAGACACCAAACGGCTAAGACGAAATTTGTCGACAGAAAGAAAACTCCGTCGAACAGATACAAGTTTCTTTGATTACGAGAATTACGTTGCTTTGTGTCGAGGAGAGAGACTACGGGTAGGTATTCTTCGTACAAGAAATAAGATACACCCCAGCTTGCAGAGATCTTCTATCATTAAATGAAAAATAGATACAAGTTACTTTGATTACGAGAATTACGTTGCTTTGTGTCGAGGAGAGAGACTACGGGTAGGTATTCTTCGTACAAGAAATAAGATACACCCCAGCTTGCAGAGATCTTCTATCATTAAATGAAAAATAGATACAAGTTACTTTGATTACGAGAATTACGTTGCTTTGTGTCGAGGAGAGAGACTACGGGCAGGTATTCTTCGTACAAGAAATAAGATACACCCCAGCTAGCAGAGATCTTCTATCATTAAATGAAAAATCTGTTTATCGGAACTCTTCAGTGTCCCTGATGTTACAACCATTGTCACGTTCTTGTTGCTGGAATCACATCCGTTGAGTAAACGAAACTAAAACCTACTGTAAGTATAGCGGATAAGCTAAAGGAGAACTTTCACATTCAAATGTTTTCCTGTTGTATTTAGTAGAATAAAAACAACAACATAAATAGTAAAAAAACTCACATTTTTTTAAAAACAACGATTATTTTATACACAATTCTAAAAATGATCACCAGTTTACACATTAAAGAATTTCACGCCATGTAAACTGGTGATCTGGTAATTATATAAATAAGTGTTACTTTTTACAAAACATTACACTCCTGAGGATGACGCAGTGATATACGTCGAAACATGTAGAGTGTATGAGACTCTTTTCAAGTCTCCTAGGTTTTTTTTACCACTTTTTATCCTGTACAGTAAGCTATTTGTATTTTATTATAATATTGAGACTGGAAACAATCTCATTTTTAAAATTGTGTATAAAATAATCGTTTTTTTAAAACTGTGAGTTTTTAACATTGAATATTACACAAGTGCTAAGGAATTAAAAAAACAACAAAAACATAAGTAATTGGAACGTAAAATGTCAAAAGCCCACATTTTCTAATCCCCAAGTTAAGCTTTAATACATACGTACATAAAGCCTACATTTTCTAATCCCCAACTTTAGCTTTAATACATACGTACATAAAGCCCACATTTTCTAATCCCCAAGTTAAGCTTTAATACATACGTACATAAAGCCTACATTTTCTAATCCCCAACTTTAGCTTTAATACATACGTACATAAAGCCCACATTTTCTAATCCCCAAGTTAAGCTTTAATACATACGTACATAAAGCCCATAAATTTTGCTAAAAACGGCAGTAATTCCACTACACATAATTCAAGCAAGTGAAAACTCGAATTTCTAATTATGACTGCATGCGAAATAACATGTCAAACTTATGATACAGCAAGTATAGCTAGTAAATTAATTATTAGAAAAAAAATGCCAAGTACTTTGTCTGGTTTGCGAAGGTAAAAAAACTTAGAAACATTGTATATATGTAAGTATAAAACATGGCATATATGTAGGTATAATAATTAGTTAAGTATGATATTCGAAGTATGATGACCATAAATTAGTTAAGTATGATATTCGAAGTATGATGACCATAAATTAGTTAAGTATGGTATTCGAAGTATGATGACCATAAATTAGTTAAGTATGATATTCGAAGTATGATGACCATGAATTGGTTAAGTATGATATTCGAAGTATGATGACCATAAATTAGCTAAGTATGATATTCGAAGTATGATGACCATAAATTAGTTAAGTATGATATTCGAAGTATGATGACCATAAATTAGTTAAGTATGATATTCGAAGTATGATGACCATAAATTAGTTAAGTATGATATTCGAAGTATGATGACCATAAATTAGTTAAGTGTGATATTCGAAGTATGATGACCATAAATTAGTTAAGTATGATATTCGAAGTATGATGACCATAAATTAGTTAAGTATGATATTCGAAGTATGATGACCATAAATTAGTTAAGTATGATATTCGAAGTATGATGACCATAAATTGGTTAAAAAATTAACTTACCAGAATGTTTCATTCTTAACTAATATGCAAAAAATCGATTAATTTTCTGATCCACAGACTGCGAGAGAAGAGGTTCATCTACGATGCCGCTATACGTCACGTGGTCATCCTTACCTCATTCTACAACCAGTCAAAGTGGAAGAACAAAGTCTTGATCCCTATATTGTCCAGTTCTACGATTTAATGACCAGTCGAGAGGCTGACACTATTCAAGAAATAGCTACTCCAATGGTAAGACAGAGAAGTTGCCGAATATTATAAAATACTTTGTTGTTTGTCCCAATGAGACCTTGAAAGTGAAACCCGTTGTGTGAAATACGTAAAACAGTGCCGGATTAACCATGAGGCAGTTGCCTCCACAAATATTTTGTTAACATTATTTATGAATATTGCGATATTCGATTTATATATTTATTTCTTATTTTTGAAAATTTGTTTTTTAATACAATGTTTTTTTAATTTCTTATATTTGAAAGGGCCTCCATATGGATATTTTGCCTCATACCTTAATCCGGTCCTCGTAAAGCATCTCACATAAGTAAATTAAAAATATTTTGTTAAGGAAGGCAAGAGTTTAACAGACATTTTCCACGAACGAAAGAGTTCGTGGTTCTCTCGTCTTGTATTTCTGCGAATGCCTCAGAATTTCGTACCGATATATTCGCTGAAGTAGAAGTATCATATTTTTTATGGCGTGTGTGAACCTTTTACAAGCGGGCGAAAAATGATTACAATTATACTTTTCATAATACATTAGTATTAGGCCTATTACATATTTAAACACTACATTATTAATCTAGACCGTTAGGGATTTTTAAGATTTGAAGAGTGTATAATAATGGACTAGATTAAGAATGTAGTGTTTAAATACGTAATAGGCCTAATACAATACTGATGTGTTATGACAAATATCAATTTAGTCATTTTTTTAACTTCCTAAATTGTGCAAAAAATAAATCGCATATGTAAAAAAAATTAAAGAACAAATTAACATGTGTGCTAGAGTTAGGTTTTGTTTGTTTAATTTGAAGCGCAAAGTTACACAATGGGCTACCAGAGCTATGGCCACAGTGGTTATCAAACTACGATTTTTAGTGTTATACGGCCTCAAACCATGAGCCACAGTTAGTTACACGTTACTATACAGGTTTTTCCCCCAGTGGCACAGCGGTATATCTGCGGAATTATAACGCTAGAATCCGGGTTTCGATACCAGTGGTGGGCAGAGCACATTGTGTAGCTTTGTGATTAATTACAAACAAACAAACTATACAGGTTGACGAAATCAAGCGTGAAGTCAAACTGTGTGCAACTACTGTACAGCTTATGCCACGCCTTCAAAGTCATTATAAACCAGATTTATAGTTTTACTGTAACCTCCATATTTTATTATGCCACCAGCAACTATCAGATACAATAATTGTCTTCAAGGGCGTCATTTGCTATTGAGAAAATAAGACAGTTGGCCACCCCTGTTCTCTTTTTCAGGATAAAATCAAATCACATATAATATGAGCGAAGTTTTCTTTACAAACAAGTAAAAAAAGTATAGTATAGAAAATGTTCCATCTAATGACGTAATTTTGCTCCCACCCCCTAAAATCCTTCCGATATATAATGCCACTAACTAGCTTACACCTTATGCCAACTACTGTAACCTTGGTCACTAAAAACTGTCACGATCAAGCCACGTGGAGCTGTCAAACGTTTAAATGACATGTGCACATGGAGGTGGGGGTGGACTTTTTGTTCCTTTGTAGCTTGACCGTTAGATGTTGTTTTTTCTGATTGACCATCAAAATAATCTGTGGTGTTTTTATCCAGTTGACAAGGTCACGCGTTCAAGGTCAGAAAAACCTTGAGGATGAAGTGTCTACCGTACGGACCAGTAAGACGGCATGGTTAAAGCCAGAGGATCACCCTATTGTTGATCGGATCAATCGAAGGGTCCAGTACGTAACAGGCTTGTCCACCGATGTCCAGAATTATCACTGTGAAACTGTTCAGGTGAAAAATAATTTCAATTCACGAACTTTTCAGACACTGGACATTCTGAAGAGTGTATTTTGTATATTCTGATGGGTGTATGTTTCATTCTGAATATTCTAAAGTGTGTATTTTTTGTATACACGCCTGATTCTACAATACTGTTTACCAAATCTGCTCTTTAACACTGATTGTTCAGTCAAAAAAAAGTAAGATAATATTTCTTACGTATGAAATATAAGTAAAGAAAAAACTTTTCAAAAAAAGGAAGTAAATGTAGGGTTAGCTAATATCAGACCTTCAAAAACAATTCAAACAAGAATAGTACGGATAAAGTCTAGTATTTAGTTTGATTTGTTTTGAATTTCGCACAAAGCTAATATCAGACCTTCAAAAACAATTCAAACAAGAATAGTACGGATAAAGTCTAGTATTTAGTTTGATTTGTTTTGAATTTCGCACAAAGCTAATATCAGACCTTCAAAAACAATTCAAACAAGAATAGTACGGATAAAGTCTAGTATTTAGTTTGATTTGTTTTGAATTTCGCGCAAAGCTAATATTAGACCTTCAAAAACAATTCAAACAAGAATAGTACGGATAAAGTCTAGTATTTAGTTTGATTTGTTTTGAATTTCGCGCAATGCTACACGAGAGCTATATGCGCTAGCCGACCCTGATTTAACAGTGAAAGACTAGAGGGAAGGCAGCTAGTCATCACCACTCACCGCCAACTTTTGGGCTACTTTTTTTACTAACGAATAGTGGGATTGACCGTCACATTATAACGCCCCTACGGCTGAAAGGGTGAGCATATTTGGTGGGAAGGGGATTCGAACCCGCGCCCTAACCACCTGGCCATGCCGATCCAAAGTCTAGTAATAATAATTGCGTAGGCGAGGAAATAAGAAAATGCAAAATAGAATATAAAGCAATGCTGAAAAACTCGCCAAATTAAGATAATTTTATTGATAAGACACGAAAAACACGTATTTTAGCAATGAAATAATTTTATTTTGGCGAGTTTTCAGCATTACTTTATATTCTATTTTGCAAGACAGTAAAAATGATATTTGCATCATCCGTACATAATAACACAGACACACAGTGTAGTAGGATGTTAATAGATAAAAATAAGAGAAATTAAACTCAACTGTGATTAGATAGCTATATATTGCTGTATGTTAATTCCTGTATGTGTTATTATGTAAGTGCCATCCCTACTATCTTGTTTGCATTGTTTTTGTAGGATTGATAGTAGCCATCCTTACATTTCCTTCCTATTTTGAAAAGTTTTTCTTTTCTTGTTTGCTTGTTTTTTAATGCAGTGTTTCTATAGACATAGGAAAGTTGTATTTATAACCAAGCTCTAAATACAATGAGGTTCCAACTGTAATAGTTATTGTTT